CTTTCTTTCTTTCTTTCTTTCTTTCTTTCTTTCTTTCTTTCTTTCTTCTTTCTTTCTTTTTCTTTCTTTCTTTCCTGGAGACTGGGATTTGAAATTAGCTTTTTAAACATTGTACCTTCCTGAAATATTTCCATTATGGATAATGTAAAGCATGTGTAATTCTCATTTTCACCACTTCTATGAAGTGGTCTTTCTGTAAGAAAGATGTAATATTGGGGCATCTGGGTGGCTCAGTTGGTTAAGCATCTGCCTTTGGCTTGGGTCATGATCCCGGGGTCTTGGGATTGAGCCCTGCATTGGGCTCCTTGCTCAGCAGGAAGCCTGCTTCTTCCTCTCCCATTCCCCTGCTTGTGTTCCCTCTCTTGCTGCCAAATAAATAAATAAAAAATATTAAAAAAAGAGAAAGATATAATATTACACTCATAGTGGAGAGGAGGTATGGAAGGGTACTACTAATTAACCTGGGTGAAGAGTGGCTAGAGGGAGGACAGTTTTGGGTTGGAGGTTAGTGGTAGTCACATTTGAAGTATGAATATGTCTTAAAGAACTCAGCAAAGACTCTCTAAATATTATCTTATGTTTCTATAACAGTTGAGCCCCAATAAACCAATTATGCCCAATCATCCTACCTTCATCAGCTCTCCATCACTGAAGGACAGGATTCACTGTGTGGCTTATGTCTTAGATATCAACTCTATTAATGATCTCTCCTCTAAGATGGTGGCAAAGTTCAAACAAGTTCAAAAAGAAGTCTTGAGCTGTGGTGAGTCTCATTGTCCTTATCAAAAAACTTTCATTTTGAAATAATTACAGATTCACAGGAAGTTGCAAAAAGAGTTCAGAGAGGTCCTATGGACACTTCACCCAATTTCCTGAGTCCCACATTGGTTGGTGGCAATAGGAGACAGAGATCATTCACATATTTTGTTGTCACATGTGATTTTCAAGTGGCTTGATATGATAGTCACCTCCCCACATTATGTGACCTGACAAGGAAGATCAAAACCAGAAAATTGACACTGTTATAATGTGTGCACATAGCTCTGTATTGTTTTATCACGTGTAGATTTCAAAGTAGTGAGTGGGTCTGCCTCACTCACTAGGAGCTTTTCAGTCTGTTGCTTTCTCAGCAATTGGGTTTGTGTGGGAGCCCTTTAGGATTGGGATCTCTGTTCTTTATAGTTCTATGATTCTCCTGCTCTTAATCCCCATCGATTTTCAAAACCAGACATTTTGGGGCTTGTCTTTTTGGTGCCAGCCCCCAGGGTTGGGGTGCCTGATGTTGGGCACAATCTCTTCATTCCTTGAGAAAGAGTTCATATTTTTTTAAATCCCACCTGATTGTGGGGTCACTGCATCTGGAGTGGGGTCCTGGGTAAGCCAGTGTCTCTGCCTCTCATACCCTTCTGGATGTACTGCTTTTGTTTTGCTTGTCGAGGTGCTATTCATCTAGTTGTCAGGTCCTTTTCAGAGGAAAATTATTCCATACGTCGTTGTAAATTTGTTGTGTCTGTAGGCGGAGGTGGGTTCACAGTTTTCCTATGCTGCCATCTTCAATTCCCCCTGCATGGGAATTTTAAAATTACTTTGCCTATTTCTACAAAAAAATTTGATTGGATATTGATAGTAATTACATTAAACACATATATAAATTTTGGGAGAATTGACATCTTTACTCTGTTGAGTTCTTCTAATCCATGAACATAATATGTCTATCCATTCATTTAGATCTTCGATTTCTTTCAACAGTGTTCCACAGTTTTTAATATTCAAGTCCATACATAATTTACTAGATTTATACCTAAGTGTTTAATTTTTTAAAATGGTATCATATTTGAAATTTTGGTTTCCAAATGCTTATTGCTGGTACATCAATTTACAATAGAATTTTGTATGTAGATCTTGTTTCTTGTGATCTTGCTGAACTCATTTATTAGTTCTAGGAAAGTTTTTTCTTTTATTCCTTGGGATTTTCATGCCATTTTAAATAGGGATAATTTACTCCTTTTTAATCTGCATGCCTTTTATTTCCTTTTCCTGTCATATTGTTCTGGCTAGAAGTTCCAGTACTATGTTGAATAATAGTGATGAGAGCACATACCCTTGTGGTGTTTCTGATCTTAGGGGGAAAGTATTCAGTGTTTCACCATTACAAAGATAGCTGTAGGTTATTTTTTACAGTTGTTCTTTGTCAGTTTGAGGAAGTTCTTTATTCGTAGTTGTCTGAGAGTTTTTGTTTCCTTATCATGAATGGGTATTGGATTTTATCAAATAGTTTTTTCCCACAGTTTGATATAATCATGAAATTGATCTTTGCTTTCTTAATATGGAAGATTACATTGATTTTTTGTTTGTTTGTTTTTTGGATTACATTGATTTTTTTAATCTTGAGCCAGCCTTGTCTCTTTAGAATAAAACCCATGTAATCATGATATATAATCCTTTTCACATATTATGGAATCTTATTGATAATAGTTTATTAAAATATTCTTATCTATATTTATGAGGGATATTGGGCTGTAGTGTAGGTCTTTTTTTTTTTTTTTTCTCCTGGTGTTGTCAGGTTTTGGTGTCAGGGTAACACTGGCTTCATAAAATGAGTTGGGAAGAGTTTCTCTTCCATTTTCCTGAAGGGATTGTGAAGAATTGGTGTTAATTTCTCTTAAAATCTGTGGTAGAGTTTTTCAATGAAATCATCTAGAGTGGTGATTTATTTTTCAGGTTTTTTTTTTCTTTTTTTTTAAAGATTTTATTTATTTATTTGACAGAGAGAAATACAGCGAGAGTGGGAACACAAGCAGGTGGAGCGGGAGAGGGAGAAGCAGGCTTCCCCCAGAGCAGGGAGCCCGATGCGGGGCTCGATCCCAGGACCCTGGGACCATGACCTGAGCCGAAGGCAGACGCCCAATGACTGAACCACCCAGGTGCCCCTTTTTCAGGGTTTTTAATACCAAAAATTTAATTTTAAAATAGTTAGCAAGCTATTAAAATAACCTGTTTCATATTAGGTGAGTTGGGATAGTTTGTAATTTTTAGTTCAGTCTATTCCATCTAAGTTGTCAAATTTATGTGTGTAGAATTGTTCATAGCATTTCCTTATTATTTTTTTCTGTCTGTGGGGTCTGTAGGGATATCCCTTGTGTCCTTCATCATATTGGTGATTTATGTCTTTTGTTTCTCTTTTTCACTATTTCTAAAGGTTTGTCAATTTTATTAGTCTTTTCAAGGAGCCATGTTTTTGTTTCATTGATACTTTAAATAGTTTTCCTGTTTTCAGTTTGTTCATTGATTTCTGCTTTTTAGGATTTCTTTCATCTTCTTGATTTGGATATAATTTGCCTTCTTTTTTCTAGGTTTTTGAGGGGAGGGACTTAGATTGTTGATTTTGGACTTTTCCTCTTTTCTATTATAAGCATTGAGTGCTACATATTTTTCTGTAAACACTTCTTTAGTTATGTACACAAATTTTGGTATGTTGTATCTTTATTATCTTCCAGTTTAATGTATTTTTTATTTCCCTTGAAACTTCCTTTATGACTCATGAATTATTTAGAATGTATTGTTTAGTTTTTAAGTGCTTGGAGTTTTTCTTGTTACCATTCTGTTATTGACTTACAGTTTGATCCATTATGGTCAAAGGACACACTCTGATTTAAATTCTTTAAATTGTTTTTGAAGTTAAATTATGGCTTAGTCGGTATTATATTTTGGTAAATGTTCCAGGGGTACTTGAAAATTATGTGTATGTTCTACAAATGTTGATTATTTAGGTTTTCTTGGTTTTTGGTATGGCAAGTGATTCTTGATTATACCTTTAATATTTTGGGTATTATACTATGAGACCCTGGATCTTATTTATTTATTTTTCTTTTTAAAAAATGATTTTATTTATTTGAGAGAGAGAGCACAAGTGGGGGGAGGGAGAGGGACAAGCAGACTCCACTTCAAGTGCAGAGACCAATTCAGGGCTCCATCTGAAGACCCTGAGACTGTGACCCAAGCCAAAATCAAGAGTTGGGTGCTCAACTGACTGAGCCACCCAGGTGCCCCTGGATCTTATTTAAATCTTGTGTTTTAGCAGACCTCTTATTACACTCTGCTTGTGGAAGTAAAAGTGCAGGTTCCCCATTAGGCCTTGGTTGACACCTCTGGGGGAAAGCGAACTTTGTTATTGCTCCCCATATGATCTTCACTGATACCAAAGGAGTCTAGGAGTCTCCTTAAAGCTGGGGGAATGGTGATTATAGTTTCACTTTCTCAGTTGGCCTCCTTGGACCCTGGTAAGGAGGGAGGGGCACCCTATTGCTGATGGTGGGGGTGGATATCCAGGATCCCCAAGGAACTTCCACTGATACCATCAACAGGGACATAGCACAGTACAGGTATAAAAGTCCTGGCTCCCTACCCATTCTTCTTCTATGATACCGTCCTGGCGGAGTGTGGAGGATAGAGAAGGGAAGAGACTTCTGTGGATGGGACTGAGGCTCTTTCATGGTGTTTGGCTGGGATAGTGTGGCTCTTGTGTGAAAGTTTTCTATCTTGCTAGGTTGCTCTTTTTCTCATGCTTGGCAAGAGACAACAGACTTCCTGCCGTCTCCTTCCTTCCCTTCCCTCCCCCCTTCCCTTTCCTCTCCCTTCCCCTTTTGTTCCTTTCTTTCCTTTTCCTTTCACCAGCTCCAGTTGGTTTTCCCTAGTGGTGCACTTCTCCAGCAGCCAATATAGGATTTATGGAGTTAAAAGAAAACCTAGAGACCTCACCACCATATTGTGATTGTAATAATGAACTAGCAAAATGAGAAATTAAGAAAATAGTCTTTTACATCAAAAAGAATAAAATATCTAGGAATAAATTGAACCAAGGAGGTGAAAGACATACATACTGAAAACTATAAGACATTAATGCAAGAAATTGAAGAAGACACAAATAAATAGAAAGATATTCTGTACTTAGGGATTGGAAGAATTCCTATTAAGGTGCATATACTCTCCAAAGCAATGTACAGATTCAATGCTGTCTTTATCAAAATTCCAATGGCATTTTTTACAGAAATAGAATGAACAATCTTAAAATTTGTATGGAACCACAAAAGACCCCAGATAGCCAAAGCAATCTTGAGAAAGAAGAACAAAGCTGGAAGCATCATGCGCCCTGATTTCAAAGTCTATTACAAAGTCATAGTGATTTTTAAAGTATGGTATTAACATAAAAATGGATACATAGATCGAGAGAACAGAATAGAGAGCCCCGAAATAAATCCACATTTTGGTCAGTTAATTTATGGCAAAGGGCCCAATAATATATACAGTGGGGAAAGACAATCTCTTCAATAAATGATGTTGGGAAAACTGGACAGCCACATGCAAAAGAATAAAACTCAACCGCTATCTTACACCATACACAAAAATTAACTCAAAATAGATTAAAGTCTTGAATGTTAGACCTGGAATCATAAAACTCCTAAAAGAAAACATAGGTGATAAGCTCCTTGCTGTAGGTCTTGGAGATGATTTATTGAATCTGACATCGAAAGTAAAAGCAACAAAAGCAAAAATAAACAAATGGAACTGCAGCAACCTAAAAAGCTTCTGCACAGCAAAGGCAACCATCAACAAAATAGAAAGGCAGCCTACTGACTGGAAGAAAATATTTGCAAATCATATAACTGATCAGAGATTGATATAGAAAATATATAAAGGGGCACCTGGATGGCTCAGTCAGTTAAGCGTCCAACTCTTGATTTTGGCTCAGGTCATCACCTCAGGGTCCTGGGATAGAGCTTCAAGTTGGTCTCTGTGCTCAGCGGGGAGTTTACTTGAGGATTCTCTCTCCCACTCTTTCTCTGCCCCTCTCCCACACCTTGCTCTCCCTCCTTATAATAAATAAATTAATCCTTAAAAAATAAAATATATAAGAATTCATACCAATCAAAAACAAAACAAAACAAAACATAAAAACAATCTAATTAAAAATGGGCAGAAAATGAGTAAACAGCTTTCCAAAGAAGACATACCAGAAGGCCATCAGGTACCTGAAAAGATGCTCAACATTATTAATCATCAAGGAAATGCTAAATAAAACCACAATGAGTTATCATATCATAACTGCTAGAATGGCTGTTATAAAAAAGACAAGAAATAACAAGTATTGGTGAGGTTGTGGTAAAAAGGGAATGCTTGTACACCATTAGTGGGTATGTAAATTGGTGTAGTCATTATGGAAAATAGCACAGAGGTTCCTTAAAAAATTAAAAATAGAATTACCATACAATCCAGCAATTCTACTTCTGGGTATTTATTCATGGCCACACCCCATGAAATGAAAACACTAACTCAAAAAAATATATGCACTCCCCCACCATGTTCATTGCAGCACTATTTACAATGGCCAAGATATAAAAACAACCTAACTGTCCATCAATGGATGAATGGATAAAGAAGATGGAGTGTACACACACACACACACACACACACACACACACACACACACACACAAGAATATTATTCAGTCATAAAAAAGAATGAAATCTTGCCATTTGCAACAACACTGGTGGACCTCAAGGGCATTATGCTATGTGTAGTAAGTCAGACAGAGAAAGATGAACACTGTATGATCTCTCCTATATGTGAAACATTTAAAAGAAAAAAACAACAAGCTCATAGATACAGAGAACAGATCAATGGTTGCCAGAGGTGGGGGTTTGGGGGTGGGAGAAATAGGTGATGGATGAAGGTGGCCAAAAGGTAAAAAGACATTTAAAAAAGAGAATTGTTGGTCATTTATACTCTAGAGCCTTTTGTTTAGTATATCAGTAGAAATACCACTTGATACAGAAAAGCTGTGCAGCTTAATGTACAGAGGATTGTCTTATTGACTAAGTAAATCTAGAATTTTTAATAGTCATAATTTGATCTTGAGAAAGTTAACTTAAGTGCACTGGACTTTAGTCTCCTATATATTGGGAATAAGTTCTGAATCTAAATATTGTAATAAACATTAGATGTACTCAGTGTAAGTATAAGCATATACAGATCTACTTCAATTTACAATGGGCTTATTGTAACTTGAAAATGTGTTTAATACACCTAACCTACCAACACTGTAGCTTGGCATAGCCTATCTTAAACATGCTGGGAACACATACATTAGCCTGTAGCTGGAAAAGTCATGTAACGCAAAGCCTATTTTATAATAAAGTGTTGAGTATCTCATGTAATTTATTGAATGCTATAGTAAAAATGAGAAAGAGAATGGTTGTATGGCACAGACTGGTTGTAACTTTATGTTGCTTACCCTGTGGTCACACGGCTGACAGAAATAACCATACTTCATATCTCTAGCCCCAGAAAAGATCAAAATTCAAAATTTGGAAGTATGGTTTATACCAAATTCATAATGCTTTTGCACTATTGTGAGGTCAAAAAATCTTACATTGAACCATGCGAAGTCAGGGACTGTCTGTATAAGCATGTAACAGCTCTGAAATTATGCTGGGTTTGGGATAAGACTGACTTACAAAGTGCTAAGGTTTGGGAAATGATGTTTTTCAAGGACATCTGGCCACACCCCATGCTGGGTGGCAAGGCTTTGTTCATCCAACTGGGCTGATTTAGAGCCTCTAAGAAGACCTTGCATTAATTCTGAAAGAGAAGAATTCCATTTTAGCAGAAGTTGAAAAGAAATTATATGTGTCGATTGAGAACTGCCTTCTATACAAACCAGGTTTTATTTAATTGGCCAACCTTGCTAGTTAATCTTCTGGGACTTGGATGAAAGGAAGATGATAAAAGCAACCATTTAATAATAGGGATCACAAACACAAGAGATATGTAAAGGGAAAATACTAAAAGCTCTGGTAAAGAAGTCTCTCAGGGGTATCCTTGAATGGCATTTGGAAATCTCAGTTTTATATTTTTTTCTGGGGAAGCATTTGTTAGTAAAGCAGAACTTTGATTCGGTTAGAAGCCAACTGGGAGAGGACAAGGGGTCCTTAGTAGAACTGTGAAATCAGTGTGCTTTGCTTTTACAAATACTCACACATAACCTTCCTCAATTTCTGGGGTTCTTTTTCAGTCCTTAGTGTCCAGCAACCACTTTCCCCCTGATCACTTTAAAACACACTATTTGGAATAGTAGATGATTGCAATGCAGTATGAATTTAGTTGCATTTAGAAATGATCTCTCATGCTGGAAGAAAAAGATCATTTCTCCTATTAGCAGAACTTCAGGTTCTATATTGACATTTACTAGGGTTATTTCATTCTCTAGGAGAGCTGCTTTCACTCATACTTAATTACTGTGTTGAAACATTGCTGTTTATGATACAAAAGAACTGATTTATCTCTTTGATATAGGTACAGCATGTGTCCTCTTGCTTCCTAAAGCGACTAATTGCAGTGAATTTCTTCAGGACAACTTTTTAAACATGGATAAACCTATGACTTCCCAAAGCCAGGTAAAGAATATATTTCTAACTAGGCATTATTTGTAATAGTGTTATAGTATGTGTGTGTGCATGTGTGTGTGCGTGTGTGCACGCTCATACTACATATTCACAGGTAAAGAAGACATGGATCAATTGCTTGGTTAATTCAAGTTTATGTCCCACTTTAAAACAATAATTATTTACATTATAATTATATTCAGAAGAGAACTACTTATCAAGCTATTGCCTTTTCAGTTTCTTTCTTGAATTAGATTTGAATTCAGTCAATTTTCAGATATGAGTTATGCTTATTAATTTTTCCACAGATAATGCATATCAGCAAAATGCTAAATGATCCTATTTATAATACCTTTGTGGTTGAAAATTATACATCAGAGTGGGAGCTGGACCCTTTAAAGGACACTCAGATCCTCTTTGTGCTGAGGCAGATGTTACGGGTAGCAGAGGACTTCTTTGAGGACTTGCCTTGAGGAAACAGGTGATCTGGCCCCCTTATGCCCCTCTCATAAAGCATGGTGCTTTGTGAAAATCGCAGAGTTCTACCTCACTGGATGGCTGATGCCCATCAGCTTGCTCTAGACCTGACAGCCATGTTAGGATATGTGCTTTGTTTCTATTCTTTTTTATTTTGTTTTCAGACAAAATTGTAGGAATGTTCCAGCTCTCCATGTTCCATCAGTTGCCTTGGTTCTGATACTTGGTCCAATCCTGGATTGGCAGGCCCCAATGAGAGTCGGTCTCCGCTGACAGCCTCCTTATGACTTCTGCTTTCATTCATGTTTTGCCTTTGGTCCCTGAGAGCATCTAACTGATGGTTTCTTCTAGGATCAGTCATACCTCAAGCTCAAAGGTCAACCTTGAGCAGTGGTGGGCCAAGATATGCCCTACCACAAACTACCATTTGAGATTTTAATTTCTGTGACATTTTTCTCAACCTTCCCAGCAAAATTGACTATCCTCTCACTTATTTGTCTTTAGCACTTTATTTAGAACTCTATGTGAGTACTAATACTTTGAATAACAATTTAAAAATGGTTACATGGATATCCACTTCCCTAGATTGTGAGTTCTTTAAGAAGCAGAGTTTGGATTTTACATACCTTTGTATTCACAGAACTTAGCACAGTGCCTAATAGCGAGCAAGCATGCCTGCCATTATGCATCCCTCCCAACTTTCCCAGACTGATAACATGTACTGAAAATTTTTCTCCTTATAGAAGGGAAGACTGGAAGAGAATGAAATGCTGGAGAGAAGAAATGAACATAGAGGAGGGAGAATGTTTCACTTGTCTCTGGATGAAGATATGAATTTAAACTAATTAAAAAGAACAAATATTTCTTAAGGACTTATGTGTTATTTCTGTGAAAAAACAAACTTTCTTCCCTTAATGAACCCATACCTGATTTTCATTAATTGAATTCCAAACCATCCTAGCCATGTCTCCCAAGTAGAGTGATCAAATGAGGTTACAAGTGCAAGTCAATAAGAAGGTTATTTTATACAAGTGCCCCCAAATGATTTTAAAATCCTCTGGGTAGCTGTAAAGTTAGGACCATTAATAAAGAAAAAAGGAATTTCAGAAGATAGGTTTTAGATTTTTCCCCCTAAAACCTTAACTCTCTTCTCCCAGTTTCTTAGTATTTTTCAAGTGAATATGTTTAGTTCAATAGTTATCCATATTAAAGCCATCTAATATACTTTTAGTCAGAATTATTGTCTTCTTTGGCAAGCCCTGGGTATGATGAGGGCAAGAATTACTTAGGGATAGTTTTGGAAAAAGACCTATTTTCTAAAGCAAAGCTACAGGTAAAGCTGTGCTCCAGTGAATGTTCAGGAGTCATGATTCAGTGGAAGAGATGGCTGGGGTCTTTAAAAGAAGGAATAGAATGGTCACAGATACTGAAGAGTAGAGCCAGAAGTAGATATTGGAAACGAAAGTAGAGTTCCTGCCAGGATGATTATGAAATAGATGTAGGGAGCAACAAGTCCAAAAAGTAAGATGGGTTTGTCTCCATGTAATCCACGATAAAAACAAGCCACAACCATTGTTGATTAGAAGACTGAAGGTGATTGAAGACCCACTACTGTGCTTCACCACCTCTAAGGCCATAACTCATCCATCTCCAGGTGGAGTCAGCAAAAATCTGGGCAGAGTAAGGTTTTGATAGATGCCAAATTAGATTCAAGGTGGAACTTCTTTACTCTGTTTGAAGGGGTAGTGTAGAATACCCTCATGCAGGAGATGGAGACCTTGAAAGGAAGAGGAGTAATGGAGAGATCAAGAGAGATAAACAATGAGGGACTGTCCAGGTGAATCAATATCATTTGAGAGTATAAATATTGAGGCTAAGTTTCCCTTTTTGTATTACAAATGACAGTGTTAGGTAAAGGATGTCACAATTCCTAATTCTCTAATGCTGTACTACTTTGGGAATGATTAAACATTTTAATGGAATTAAATGTATATTTGGGGGTTAGGCTAGAAAGGATTGGTGAGGGGTGCCTCAAAAAGGGAGAGACGTCTCTTTTATCTGGGAAAGGACCTTTCCTGACTTTGAGGATTCTGCTGATCTTTCTTTACCATCCTAACAGTAGGACTTACCACTTTGCCACACTTTAGAGGCCATCCAGGATTTTTGAAAGTTTACATAATTTAAATTTGAGCTAGAAGTACAGTACAGCCAAAGTCATTATTTTTTACCATAACAGTGCTAAGGGACATAGTGGATAAAGCATAAATGTAGTGGGAGGTAGAATATCACCTAAAGTGAGAGGGATGTTGTAGACACTTTAAGCATCAATACTAGAGACTGTGTGGTGGGTGGGTGGGTGGGGTGGGTTGTGGCATTAAAAAGTGACTGTTTTGAATTTAAGTGGGTCTATTGACAGAGGAATGGATAAAGAAAATTTGGTATATACATTTACACACACACACACACACACACAGACACACACACTGGAATATTATTCAGCCATAAAAAGGAAATTCTGCTATTTGAGACAACATGGATGGACCTTGGGGGCATTATGCTAAGGGAAATAAGTCAGAGAAAGACAAATACTGCATGATCTCACTTATATGTGAAATCTTAGAAAGCCAAACTCATAGAAACAGAGTAGAATGATGGTTGCCAGGGCTGAGGGGTGCAGGGAATGGGGTGATGTTGGTTGAAGGGTACAAATATCCAGTTATAAGATGAAAATGTCCTGGGAATTTAATGTACAACATGGTGACTGTAGTTAACAATGCAGTATTATATATTTGATAGTTTCTAGGAGAGTAGATCCTAAATGTTCTCACTGCATGTACAAAAAAGGTAATTATTTGAGGTAATGGATGTGTTAACTAACCTTATGGTGTAACCATTTTGCAATATATACATGTGTCAAATCATTGCATCGAATACCTTAAATTTACACAATTTTATATACCAATTATATCTTTTTGTTTGTTTTTTTTTTCTGGGGATTTTTATTTATTTATTTGGTATTAAAATCCACTGGTTCTTGAGTAACACATGAAGTCTGAAAACAATCAACTTTCTTCAGTCTTATTTATTTTTATTTTTATTTTAATTAATTTTTTTGGTAGTTTCAAGTTTTCATTTAAATTCCAGTTAGTTAACATATAGTGTACAATGAGTTTCAGGAGTAGGATTTAGTGATTCATCACTTACATACAACACCCAGTGCTCATCACAACAAGTGCCCTTCTACTCCCCATCACCCATTTAACCCATCCCCCCGCCCACCTCCTCTCCAGCAACCATCAGTTATCTATAGGTAAGAGTCTGTTTGTATCAATTATATCTTAATAAAGTTGGAAAAAAAATAAAGTGAAAGTGGCTGTTTCTGACAAAAGTTTGTAGCGTTGTACAAATTCAGCCAGCATCCACCTATTTAATAAAATACCGAGAGGGGTATTACGGTGGGTGATGTGTAAGCCTGTGTCTTTTTTAGAAAGCTAAATTTAAAGATTATATGTTGCTTTTTCATAAAAAATGCAAGTTCATATTGAATACAACAAAACTGATTGAGAGACTCAAGAAAGCCCCCAGATGCTTCAGAGACCAGCTGACGAGTAATCATCTTGAAGTGACCAAACTCAATCTGATGCTGAAGTAGCTACTTGATAGCACAGCTGATTGAAGTCTTCACTGGTGTTGTAAAAGCTGGGAGAATTTGGAAGTTCCCAAATCCCATCCCAAATGTGGTGAGTCTCTGGGCCAATTTATAGAGAGCAGATTTAAGTAGATCTGATTTTTGCCATCAATCTGAGCAAGATGGAAACTTGCATACTAGCTGCAAATCTTTGCAAAATCTTGTTCTGAGTTGGAGAAAATGCAGACCGCTGGGCTCAGCCAGACAATGGAATTAGGATTATGGCCAATATCCATTGCTCACACAATGGATTTGAGCTGTTCCAGGCTCCAGGATAGGAATGACAGTGGAAGCAAAACTGCAGGTAGAGATTGTAGGAATGGGGGTGGAGATGGCAAAGAAGAAGAACAAGCTATGTTAAATAATGGTGTGTAAATATAATTGTCAAAGTTATTAAAACAATTGATTTCTTTTGAGAGAGAGAGAGAATGCGCATTCACAAGCAGGGAGAAGGGGGAGGGGCCGAGGGAGAGCGGGGCGGGGGGGAGAGAATCATAAGTAGGCTCCATGCCCCGCCTAGAGCCCCATGTGGGGCTTCATCTCACCACCCTGAGATCATGACCTGAGCTGAAATCAAGCCTTGGACACTTAACCAACTGAACCACCCAGGCGCTATCACACCTCTGAGCTCATGTGAGGGGCTGGTGTCTTCCAAAAGCTCAAGGAAGGGAGAGCTGGGAATCTTAATTTCTGGAAGGTGCTTATTTATTCAAATGCTACAATTTATGAGCAAGGGCTACCTGAATTATTGGATTATTTGTGTGTGCAGGGGAATGAGAGGCAGGTTTGAAACTGTGTCTTCAATGCCAATTCTACAGGCTCTCTTAGAAGAAGATGAGCTAAGTACAGACTACCAAATGATGTCTTCTACCATCTCCATGTCTTGTTTCTTTATTATTAAGGAGCTAAGCCTTTTTTATTTCCGTTCCATTGATGATACAAGCAGTTCATCAAACATGAAGATTCCTGGTTTCCTTAGTGAAGTGATGGCTGTTTGCCGAGTGATGTTAGGCCCTCCAACTTCAGTCTGAGTTCTTGAGATGGTCTGCAAAATGAGAAAGAATCTCCTGCTCTTTTAAGTCAGGGAACAGTGGGAGGACCTGACCATGGCAGGGTGTTCAGATGGTGGTGACATGGTCTTCAACACCTGCTGATCTCCAAAAGACTTCTGTTTTACCTCAGTTGATTCTCTGTTTGGGATTGCGGCTCCTCTGTCATAGATTGTCAGAAATCTGTGGGTTTTTGCTGAAATCGGCCTGACCCCCAGCAGCACAGAAAACAGAGGACCCTGATGAGAGTAAGTTGACAGTAGAGAAGTGGATGAATTTGAGGCATGTGTCCTGGAGTTGGACTTGACAGCAGTTTTTCTGTATTTCGACATACAGAAACCGAATTTTTCTTTAAAGAAGTCACTTAAAAATCTAGTGAGCTGTGAGGTTTTCTTCTCTCTGACTTCAATTCTTTTATTCTCCTAATATTTTTATTTGACTCGACTGTGAAAACTTAACTGGTTCAGTTCCTGTTCCCTGGCAGGTGGAGGCTGGCACTCTGCCATGTGGGCTGGGCCTTCACTACGGTTCAGTTTCCTTTTCTCCGAGTCCCTGAACCATGGAGGTTGCTGAAGAATTTTCTGTATCTGCTTAGCTGTCCAGACAGAGCAGCTACACTCAGCCTCAGTCCTTGTACAGGTTCTACAAACAGGTGAGTGACTTGCTGCTTTCCACTTTTCCTAGCCACTTCCTTTTTAATTAAAAAAAAATCATTTAGAATGAAAAACTAGTTAATGATTTTTCATGCTATCTGCTCATCCTCTTTTTACTCATCTTATGTGTAATGTAGAGTAAATAAGAGGCAGAAATGCAAGCTTTGTGACAGTATATGTTACCTGTTTTTCAATATTTAATGGAAAATATATTTGATTTTCTGCTAGATTGAGAAGCATGGCAGTGACACCTCGTTTGACGGGGATGCAAGAAAAGAAGCTGCAAAATTATTTTGGAGGAAAACAATTTACCCTTCTTTATAAACCTAGTGTCCATGAATTCTCTGGACATAATTTGGACAGAAATGCTGTGACCAAGGGCCTACTGTGATGGTGATTTATGGTGGACATTATGTTTTGGGGGCCTATATAAAAGAGAGTTACAAGAAAGATGACAAAGTTCCCATTGTCCTTCTTGCCTTTCAAAGGAATGAAATTTCAGAATGCAATATAGGAACATATTCACCATCTATATTTCTTTATGAATATCATAAAGGATGGGATGGTTTCAAATTCCTCCTTAATCCGAAGCAAAAAAAAAAAAAAGTGACTATGAACTTAGATGCAATTAAAGAACTTGGACTGCTTCAAAATCAACCTATTTCCTTTGAGGAATGTGAAGTTTTTCGTTGTGAAGGTAGGTTTAATCAGATAATCTTATATAGAGCTCTCTCCTGAACGTTCGGCGGATTTGAGGCAACTCATCTCTTTAAGGAAGAATGTCCTTATCTCTGGGTGACCAAGACTGAAACCTGGCCACACACTGTTTGCTGAGACCCAGCTGTGGTCAAAAGTAGCATATATAGAGTTCTGGAGTGTGTTTGTGTGGGGGAAGGGGTAGGGGGAAGGTGGAAGGAGAAGGGGGAGAGAGAGAGAGAGAGAGAGAAAGGGGCAGCAAACTTAGATTGTGAGATTCTCTTGGAATGAAACCAAAGCTCAAACTTCTCTCAATTGGTACTAGATCCTGCAGTTTCCCATTGTATCTGTTATATTAAAAGACCAAAATGAATTTACTTATTTTTCTGCTAAAGGACATTGTTTCCAATATTTGCTGTTATAAACAATGCTTTTGTAATGTATTTGTGAATATAACTGTGCACAAAAATACTTCTTTTGTACTTTCCCAAGAGCATTATAGAAATGCCTATTTCCTTATCTTCTTGCCAATGTTTGATATTATCAAACTTTAGAATATTTGCAATTTGATGGTCAAAAGATGGTTTCTCATTTTCTTCTTTGCTTATTCCTGATTACTAGCAAGTCTATGTGTATTGGCCATTTACATTTCTTCTCCGAAATAGTTATTTATGTCTATCCATTTAAGGGAAGGGACCCTAGGAATAATATCCCCTGAGTATTTTCATGTTCTAAACTCCTTGTCTGTGGTCTTTATACTTGAATGATCATCAGAGTATGTAATTCTTTGGGGGATTTTGTACTGTTTCTACAGGATTGATGTTGCTGTGGAAAACCTAGGGCCAGACTTACTTATATGTTTTTGTTTTTTCCCCTTTGAATGATTTGATCTTTCTCCCTGGCTGCCCCAAACATCTAAAAAATTTTTTGTTGATGTCCGGTCAATTTACTTGGATATGTCATGATGTTGACAATCCTGGATCAGTTAAGGAAACTTTTTATGGAAGTATAACACATAAACAGAGAAATGCACAGTTGATAAATGTACCAACTGACAAACTTTTATAAATTAGACACATTAATATAGCTACTACTTGGATGAAGAAATAGATTATTATCATCATTTCAAAAGACTCCTTGCTGATTCTTCCTGGTTATTACCAGCCAAAGGTAACTACTACTTTGGCTTGTGTCGACATTAATAACTTCTTCTTTTTGAATTCTATATAAATGGAATCATATCAAAATA